AGACAGGAAAAAAGGAAGAGAGGAATTTTGGAATATATACTAAACCAGGTTGAGATGGAGATGCATAATCCCAATCTGAGATACAGTCATCATTCATCAGTTTGTGAATGTAAGATGGCATCACAAAATGTTTTTCTATTTCTGTCTAAATCAATCAAGGAATGCATGCTTAATTGATGAAAGTTGTTCCCCTTTTTCCTATCAGCAAAATAGAAACCAGAGAGGTCATCAGGAGCAAATAAATGGGATATATGTATGTGACATTTTAATATGCAATATATATGAGTCAGTTCAGTATACTTTCCAGAATATGGAAACAAAACCCTCATTCTGTGGTGACATGATTCTGTTTTAACTCCTGTTTTTTAAAATCTGAATTCTTTCTATTTAAATATATATGTGAATAACAACTTGCAACTTTCAATTGTCATCTTTTAACATCTTTTTGTAATGGAAAGACATTACATTTAGATGCTAGTTTGAAGGCATGACTGACAAAAGAAGGGCCTGTTCAGTGCTGGCTTGATCATCATCACTTGAGAAGGTCAGTAAGGAGTAGAGGTTGACAGAAACTTATTGATTTAGGAGCCTGTGATAGCTAGTGAGCTGAAAAAGAGAGAGAAAAGAGCAAGAATTGAGAGTTGAGGTGGTAAAAATTGTTAGTGGAATTAATAGGAGAGATAAAAAGCTGTGGATCAGTAAAACAGACAGGAACTCTGGATTCTCTGATCCACTTGAAGAATTTATTTAATGACGTCATAGAGCATGGGGATACATGATGTCACAATATTGAGACCGGTTTTAAAGAAGAAAATATTTAAATGTTTTCCTTGCTGTGTGTTATTTGTCAATAACCAAGGAATGACAAGAACAAGTAGAGCAGGCTGAGATGGAATGAAGTTTAAAACCTCTAAAGCAGTGACAATATGCTGCACCAGTGGATGTAAAGATGCCAGTTAGCATTTATAAAAGCTACCAGTGTTTGATGGCAGAACATTTAGAAGGAAATAGGTCTGTTTAAGGATAGACCAATGATTTTTTTTTCTTGATCTCAGGCAAGTCCAAATATAGTTCCTGAGTGAACAGGATAGAATTTCTAATCTTTATGCTCTGTCTAAAATGTTCACATGCTTGTTTGGTAGTCAGAGGATATACTGTAGAGTATTATTTCTTTATTGACTGATATTCACCCTCTTTTCCAGGAGTTGAAGGTGGCTTGCATGGTTTAATTTTATCCCCCAGACAACACTTATGTTCAAGGAATCTGAACTTGAATTTCACCAATCCAGCTACAACATTTTAACCACCACATCATGCTAGGTCTGTGAAATAAAGGAAAAATCAAATAACAGCAAAGATATATGGTGCCAGTGATACATATGATCCCCAAAATGTATCCACCTAACTTACTGAAGCAAGGCTTATTTATAGCACTGCTTCTAAGAAGGCAAAATAGTCTAGTGTTTTCCTGGTTGACCTCCCTTTAAGCTGTTTTAGAGCAATTCATTCGTAGGTGTTCTGGGAAGATTGCCAATGTATGCAAGGAAATAGAAAATCCAAATAAACTAGTTGATAGTAGGCAAATAAGACTATAAAATAAAGACGCTTTAGAGTACATGCATATATAAATAGTTTTTATGGTGATAAATATATGAGAGTTTAAACTGTTTACTTAAAATATTTGAAGTTCATATTATAGTAACCACATAAATTAAAATTGTATTTTAATGTTAAGCCTGCATTCTTATGTACACTTGTATTGATGATGGCTCACTGAATGCCATGCTATTGTTTCTCAATAGACATGCTAAGGCTGAAAGTTATTTTGTGGATATAAATTTTGTTTTTATACACAAGCCCCAGGTTTATTTATAATTCTACACATATATACAAAGAAGCAAGTCTGAGTGAACTTCTGATGTACCTGAAATTGCATCCCTTTTGGTGCAATGACATTTTACAATCTTGAGGGGGTTATGTAGAAATAGCATGTTCAGATCCAAACAGTGAATGATGTTGTGAAATATTTCACAAGTTCTCCCCTCCCTTGTGTAATTCTCATCAATGAGCTGAGTTGTCTTTCATTATTGCAAATCAGATGTTCTGTATTGACAGGAAAGTTACCTAGTACACTACATTTGCAAAGGGGAGGCAGGATCCAATCAATCTTTGCAATAATATTTTTGCTTTCCCTCATGCAAACCCTCCCCTCTCTTTCCCGCTTTTATGCAAGTTTCCTACTACAATGCTTGTGTACCTATACATATAATAGCAGAGGAATATACCAATGAAGGGCATTTGACTGGTTTAAAGCAAGCTATAGAAATACGTTCATGCTTCTGTATTCTCTCACATGTTTCTTATCCAAGTTAAGTTTCTATTAAAGTGGGTCAATTGAGAGATATGAAATTTACCAGCATTCTCTGTAATCTCTCTTGGGCACTGTGTGTACATTGAGATGGAATGGTAGTCTCATGTTCTGAACACTGGCTTCTTAACAGTAGCTAAGATCACTTGAATGGTGTATGTTTTTAAATTTAACATCAAAGCGCTATTTAACATCAAAGCACTTTCCTCTCTCATGTTTGACATTTCTTTGTGTCTTTTAATTTGAAAACAGAAGAGAGAGCAATGAGGAAAGAACAGTCTTCATTCCAATCTTCTTTTATAAGAGCCAACTGTTCTGAAAAGTCATTCAGAAATTCCCTCTCATGTTTTTAATCAGTTATTTTCTTTATTAATATATTTATGTGCTAACTTTACACAGTTCAAATAGTCCCCATCAATGAAAGATAGAAAAAGTGATATATTAAATATGTAGCAAGTCTAACCACAATGATTACTTTAAAGAAATAATTACTTTCAGAAATGTATCACCTTCAATCTGTTGTTTAAACTTGCAGAGATCTATGCAGATCCACTGTTTAATGCAGTAAGAGAGGAAGCTGTATGTTACTAGGCAAGATGTGTATCAGGTCTTTTAAATGATAATCTACAGGAACTTAAGCAATCTGAAAATTCTTTGAAAGAAGAACTATTCCAGAGGCACAGATTATTCAAGCAGCAGAAGCAGCATCTTGTTTTTAGCTTCAAACCTTTTTGCAAGATGCTCCTGACTGTTTCTGCAAGCAAAGCAGCTCTATGTACAGTATATAAGCATGCAGAATTTTTGATTTTGAAGCAGCAATGTGAACCTGAAAAAAGGAATAGCTATTTTAAAGCTTCAAAGAGAAGTATAAAAGTAAAAGGGGGAAAAAGCAACAACTACTATAATAAAGAAGTGGCTTCCAACCTTCATCACTGGAGCATAAACTAACGAACTAACTTTTGACATGCTTTTAAAATTACAAATAAAAAAACCCTTTTCTTCCCATAGCTTATCTTTACAGTTCTTGTTCAGCGAAAAGTCCATTAGGAGTTACCAGAAATATCAAACAAATTTATCCTGATCAAATAGTCCAACTTTATATTCCTTCTTTCTGCTTTTCACAATGTTAAACTTTAAATCATTCCAACAACATTTGATCTTTCATCAATCTTTGACATTCAGGAGGAGTTTTTCATCAGCTTACTTTGTAAATCACATAAAGAGGCATCATCAAAGATTTCTTGTTGCAGTTGTTTCATTATCCTGATGCCTTTACAGATTTGTCTTTGATGTTCCCATTTCATTGACCTCAATTTGTTGCCTTCAAAAATCTATACCTATATGAGATAAACATGTCCATATGTTTGGTGGACATGTGCCAAAGCAAAGAGTTATTGGAAAAAAATACATGCCTGGCTAGAAAAGATGTTGGGAGAATACATAGATTTTAAACCTGAACTTTTTTATTAGGAATAATGCCAGAAAAGACTGATAAACAAAGCATATATTTGATTCTACATGTTACAACAGCGGCAAGAATTATATTCGTGCAATATTGGAAAAATGTTGAAATACCATCAGATAAATAATTAAAAAAATACTAGAATGCACGGAGATGGATAGACTGACTCTGAGGCTGAAAGGAAAAGAAGAAACGAAATATTATCAAACTTGGGATTTATTTTATCAATGGCTAGAGGAAAGAACAAAGATTTAGGAATTAAATATGTATTAGCGAATGTAAACTCAGACAGCATGTTTGTTGAACAAATACTATTGAATGTGAAAAAAAAATCAATAAAAATCTTTTTAAAAAATTTTTTTTTCATCATTTTGTAAAAATGTATCCATTGAAATTTGTATCCTTTCTGAGACTTTAGTTATTAAAAAGTTCAATTATCAAAAAACTCTTTAAGATATGAAATGATTATGGCTGGCTTGGTCATTTTAACATTTTTTCTGCCTGCTCTTTTAGTTCCTTCTAATGTCCATTTGCAACCTTCATCAGGCCTCAGTTGTTAATATGGGTGGGTTTAGTTCCATTTCAGTTGTTTCCCACGAGTATATTATTTAATTATATAATTGTTTTTCATAACTTACAGTACAAATAACCAATATTTCAAATCTCTCTGGATCCATTTACAACTTACTTAAATCAAATCCTTTTCTGTTTTTTATCAACTAGATATTTTTTTCTTCTTCTTTTTCATCCTAGCATTTTCCCACAGGTCCAGGGTCAATAAATATTATTTCATGCAATCAAATGCAGTAACTGGGTCCATCTGGATGATTTTCATGTCCACATTAATGGACATAAAAAAATTCTGCCATTTTTTTTATTTTTGCAATTTGCAAAACAAAACATTTTTTGCCAATTGTACATTATTGTATCTTAAGTCTTAAAATTTCTTAAATCCAAAGAAGAAGGTAAGATTCACCAGGTGTTAAAATAAGCTCCCTATTTTGAAGGTCTCTATTATCCATAATTAAATTGAACATTTCCAAATGTATCTAGAAAATGAATTTGGTTAGCTTAGTGTCCTTATTAAAGGCTCCACTTCTGCTGAAAGCAAAGATGTCATCCCCCTTTGCTTCTGGTCCTCAGACCAGCATGAAACTGGTCTTTTATGATCTCATGAAGAGCTGCCATTCAGAGCATCTGTGGGTGATCTTCCATTGTGAATTTTAAACTTGAAACAAGACAACAATCAACTTTGTTCACACAAGGTATTTTGGATTTACAAATTTATTACAGTTCTCTACACAATATTAAAAGAAATATAGATGTTAAAAATATAAAGTACAATTCCAAATACAACTACTGGGAAGTAAGTCACAAAGAACTTTAACATGAGAAATTATCATGTTATGGGGATGAAACCTAGAATAAGAAAGATAACATTATTGTATGCAATGCAAAAAATGGGAATGGTTAATATAATACATAATAAAGCTTTCAGTCCAAAAGTGATCTAGAACTTTTCACTATGCATGGATACCTCAATATATAGTACCTTAAATTGCCTGAAAGGCAGGAAGAGTCAAACAATAGCCCAACTCTTTATAATTCTCATTCAATAGTATTTCTACAATATAAGCAAAGATTAGTTAATTTATATAAAATAGTGCCTCCCACTTCAAACTCCAGGCAGTGGTCCATAACAATGCCATGATTTATGGTGTCAGAAGTTACAGAGAGATTTACCCTTATTTCATTCCCACAAGAAAGTATCAATATACTTTCAGAACATACCCAGGTTTGAAATCCAACTGAAAAAAAGACTCAGATAAGCCATTTCGTCTACAGTTTCCCATAGGGTCCACCACCTTCTTAAGAACCTGCCCTAAAAAGAGAAAATTGCAAACAGGAAAAAAAATAATCTGATATTGCTAGTTCAGATGATGGTTTCCTCAGGAAAGGTTATAGCTCTACTACCTTCAAAGCTGATGGCCAAAGCCGACACTTCTCTCAAGGATGTTTTAATCAGCATCTTTACACAATCTCTTGCTTTAATATAAGTTTTCATCTTTTATTATATTAAAAAGTAGGGATCTAAACCACAGGTATCTTAGCTAATTTCCAACTCCATCTTAAGAAGCAATTATTAAAACCTGATTTTTATTTCATTTTCATTCATTCACTTAATCACATTAAAACGTTTTTCCTGTATGTCTGAAAAGATATTCCTGTTCTAGTCTGCTGTAATTGTATATCTCAGAAAGACATTTTGATTGGACTATTATTCTCGCTGTATTAAAGCAATAGTTACCTAATTTTTAGTTAATCTTCTAACAATATTCATGGCATAACATTTTACGGGTGAAAAAATGAAAGGAAACACGGTAAGTAATATTTTTCATCTCAATAATTTCTTGCCAAAGCTAAATTGCTTGTAGTCATTTTCAAGAATTGTCCTATAGTACTGTACAAATGTGATGACATTTCTGAAACTCTTGCATTGTAGTCTCTTTGGTGTACCATAGGTTTATTTCCTTATCAATTCAATCAATTTAGTTTGAAAAATCAGCACTTTTGTTTTACTAAAACATTTGATCCACTGATGGGTGCTGATGTGGATGCATAAAACAGCACAAAATTATTTAATCTATTTTATCCTCTGTGGCATGTCACTCCATGCTTGGGATTTCTTTTTGGCAAGTTCCATCCATGAGGGTTGATCTGGAGAATGACCAATCTTCCTAAGTGGCTTTATATCTCCTCTTTCAATTGGCAATGATGGCTGAGCTGCATATGGGGGGAAAAAAGTTTCTATTACAGTATTTCTCAAACCTGCAATTGTGAAATGTCAAATAAATATCTGAAAATATGTGGAACACCGATTTAAACAGCACCCATTTAATATTTCTACCAAAGTATTAATTCCAAACTAAGCGTGTATTGAAAATTGTTTTTTCATACTTCATGCTGTAGCATAGCTTTTGTCACAGGTGTATCAGTCACAAAAGTTCTTCAATAGGTATCTGAGTACTAAAATCTCCAAAAGCATGGATGGTTGATGATACAGGAAAAGCAGGAGCTGAGGGAGCAAACTCACTCTGGCCAATGAATGTAGGGAAATGTAGCAGACTATCTGAAAGATCTTGTGGACCATCAGGGATCTACAGATCCTAGTCTGAGAATCCTTTTTCTAGAAACTCAATGTTCGGCTAACCCTTGAGATTCTACTAAGCAAGGCTGGGTAAGAATTCAATCTGTGCAAATGAACTATGAATACAATTTTTATATTGTCTACAAATGTAATCTAGCACTGTCAGGTTCATCCCATGCAGTATTGTTAGAGAATTAATGTTTTCTAAACATAATAAAGAAAATAAATCTGTATAAAAAGAATCTTCTACATAGGCCACAGAAACAAAACCTAGATTCTTCTACTCCTTCAGCAAGTGAACACTGGATCTTCAGTTCATCTGGATTAGACAAGATTCCACATATAACTGCATATACATTCACAGAAAGCATTTTTATACTTTTGTTTTGATTATATATTTGAAACATGTAAATGAACAAAGTCTTAATGGCATGTGACTTAGGCACAAAATAATATTACTATAAATAGCAAATGAAAAGTACTATAATAATAGTTAATGGGGCTACATAATAATAATAATAACAACAACAACAACAACATCATCTGCCTATCCCAGGTCCTGGGTAAGGACTCGATAGGTAGACAAAATGCCAAAACCAGTCTGAACATCTGGCTGACTGTGCGATGATCCATAATAATAATAATAATAATAATAATAATAATAATAATAATAATAATAATAATAATAATAATAATAATAATAATAATAATAATAATAATAATAATAATAATAAAGTTGGAAGGGACCTTGGAGGTCATCTAGTCCAACCCCCTGCTCAGGTAGGAAACCCTATACCATTTCAGACAAATGGCTGTCCAGTCTCTTCTTA